TATACTAAGAGCACTAAGAGCTGGGCACACAAAGAAGAATGAGGGGAAGGTCCCTGCCCTCAAGGAGCTCACATTTTAATAGGAGAGAGGACATATAAATAACTAGATACATATAAGGTAGGGGTGTGTGTGTGTGTGTGTGTGTGTGTGTGTGTGTGTGTATCGCCTAAATGGCAGGTAATCTCAAAGTGATAATGCTAGTGGAGAAGAAAAGAAAGGACAGAGGCAAAAAAGGCCTGCAGAAAGTGGAATTTGAACTCAGTTTTGAAGGAAACCCAGAGCCAGAGGTTAATGACAGGTTAAAGACAGAGGTTAATGATGATGATAACTAGTATTTATATAGCACCTACTAGGTTCCAGGCACTGTACTAAACACTTTACAAATATCTCATCTGATCTTGACAACAGCACTAAAAGAAAACACTACAGGCATGGGGAATAGCCAGTAAAAATACAGTCAGGTGAACAAATTCTCTGAGGGAAGAAGAAGGCAGTGTTGCTACATCATAGAGTGTGTACAGCAGGATAGTTATAAGAAGACTGGAAAGGTAGGAAGGAGCCAGGTTGTGAAGGGCTTTAAAAGGAAAAGAGTATTTTTTTAATATTTTTAGAGGTAGTAGGGATCCTCCAGGTAATACGGAGCCACTGGGATTTAGTGAGTATGGGAGTGATTTGGTCAGACATACTGCTCAGAAAAATTACATTGACAGCTGAGAGAAGGATGAGTTAAATGGTGGAGAGATGAAGCAGAGAGACCAACCACAAGGCTATTGTAATAGTTCACACGAAAAATGATTAAGGCTTGCACCAGGTGAAGACTGTGTGAATAAGAAACAGTCATAATATACAAGAGATGTGGAAGTAGGAATGACAAAATTTGGCAATAGGTTAAACATGTGGGATGAGTGCAAGTAAGTTGAGAATGACACCTATAGGAGGGGCGGAGCCAAGATGGCGGAGGGAAAGCAGTGACTTGCTAGAGCTGTCCCCCAAACCCCTCCAAAAAATGGCTTTAAACAAATCCTAAAGCAGGAGAACCCACAAAAAAAACAGAGTAAAACAAATTTCCAGCCCAAGACAACCTGGATGGCTGATTGGAAAGGTATATCATGCCGGACTGGGAGAGGAGCACAGTTTGGCATGGGCGCGCAGGCCGCAGCGACCCTGGAGCAGGCTTCAGAGGACTGAATCGCCAGCAGCTGTGGCGGTTTCCAGACTTCTCAACCCACCAACGCCAAAGACAACTTGGAAGGTCAGTGGGAAAAGTCTGTTACTGTGGTGAGAGAAGAAGCTAGATCTCAGCCACCCTGAGGGCAGTGACTGGCTTCTGAGCTTCCGGCCCACAGACTGAGGGGGAATTGAGTGGCCAATCAGAGGGGGATTGCAAAGATCTCTTTGCCAGGGCTGAGGCAGGAATCTCTTGCTTTACCGGTGCTTGGATCTGAGTCACAGTTCTGAGGGGCAGTCTTGGGGTGAGGAAGAGTGCTGGCATGGTGGAGCTTGTTGTGGCGGTGGAGAGGAAACACCTTGACCCTTATCACACCACCTTGAAAGAACTGAAAATTTACAGGTCCTTAGAAGTACCTCTGAAAACAGCTGTACAAAGCCGCGAAGCTTGGGACAGTACATTCTCCGCATTGGAAGCAGACTCTTACCTTAACAAAGAGTTTAAAACTCAAGTAATTGGCTGGGATCATGAAAAAACCTGGCAAAAAGAGTCAGACTATATTATCTTACTTTGGTGACAAATAAGATCAAAACATACAACCAGAAGAAGACAACAAAGTCAAAGCTCCTACATCCAAACCATCTAAGAAAAATATGAATCAGTCCCAGGCCTTGGAAGAGCTCGAAAGGGATTTTGACAAGCAAGTAAGAGAAGTAGAGGAAAAACTGAGAGTGATGCAAGAAAATCATGAAAAACAAGTCAATAGCTTGCTAAAGGAGACCCAAAAAAATACTGAAGAAAATAACACCTTAAAAAATAGCCTAACCCAAATGGCAAAAGAGGTCCAAAAAGCCAATGAAGAAAAGAATGCCCCAAAGAGCAAAATTGGACAAATGGAAAAGGAAGTCCAAAAGATTACTGAAGAAAATACTTCCTTAAAAATTAGAATAGAGAATGACACCTACAGTGTGAGCCTGGGTAACTGGGAAGATGATGAATGTCCTCAACAGTATTAGGGACATTTGAAGGAAGGAAGGGGTTTAAGGGAGAAAACATAGTGAGTTCTATTTTGGACACATTGAAATGGGACATCTAGTTCAATATGACCAAGTGGCTGTTGGTGATGAAAGACTGGAGGTAAGGAGAAATGTTAGTCCTGGAAGCATAAATCTAGGAATTGTCTGCATAGAGATAATTGAACCAATTTGAGTTTATGAAGTCACGAGGCAATACAATATAAAGAAAAGAGAGAACTGAAGACAGTGCCTTGGGAAGACTCCCATCATTGGATGAAAATCCAGCAAATAATTAAAAGAGCAGGGTGACACAGCTAGAGAATGGGAGAAGTGAGATTGGAGCCTAAATCTTCCAACTCTAGATCCATAGCTGTAGCCTCTTTATACTATACTCCTTCAACCATGTTCCCTCCTTATCTTTTCTCTAAAATTAGTAGCTTCTTTCATTTCTCAGCTGTGGTAGTGTCTTGTATGGAGCCTTTCCCAGTTCCCCTAGTTCTCTCTCCCTCCTCAATTGTTTTCCTTGTCTTTTTACATGTTGTGTCCCCCAGGAAAATGTGAGCACCATAAGGGCAGCATCTTTTTCACATTTTTCTGTCTCTAGTACCTAGCATACTGCTTATTGAATGAGTGAATGAATGAAACTCAAAGAGCGTTTTTGAGATATGTTACAGCGTAGCAATAAAAGCACGCTTCATCGAGGACGAACACAGCATCAAGGTCATCTACTGCACTGATGGTAAAATTTTCAACTTGAAAAGGCTACAAAGCCAAGATTAAAATGGAAGGAGAGTCGGTGCATGATTTTTTGTTCACAGAAGATTGTGCACTCAGTGAAGCCTCTGAAGCTAAGATGCAATAAAGTATGGATTGTTTCTCTGCTGCTTGTGCTAATTTTGGCCTAACAGTTAACATCAAGAAAAAATGGGTACCCCATCAGCCAGCATACCACCACCCACATGTGGAACCATTGGTTACTCCAAGTAGAGAAGTTTTTTAAGGCTGTGGACAAGTTTGCTTGCCTTGGCAGTATACTTTTCAGAGAGGTACACATTGATAATTCGGTTGATGCACGAATTGCCAGAGCTAGCTCAGTGTTTGGGAGGCTCTGAAGGAAAGTATTAGAGAGAAGAGGTATTAGACTGGCTATCAAATTAAAGGTCTGTTGTGCTGACCCATTGTTGTATGTCTGTGAAAACTAGGTAGTATACCAGTGTCAGGCCAGGAAATTGAATTATTTCCGTTTGAATTGTCTTAGAAAGATTCTGAAGATCACCTGGCAGAATAAGTTACCAGACACTGAGGTCCTTTCTAGAACTAAACTGGAAAGCATTCAAACTCTACTGCAGAGAGTACAACTATGATGGGCTGGCCACATTGTTTGAATGCCAAATGTATGCTTGCCTAAAAGACTATTTTATGGAGAACTCACACAGGACACGTGCTCACATCATGGTCAAAACAAGCGATACAAAGACACTTTCAAGGTCTTTCTTAAGAACTTTGGAATTGATTGTGTGACATGGGACACACTGGCATAGGACTGCCCAGCGTGATGTGCCTTCATTAGAGAAGGTTCTGTGCTCTATGAGCAAAGAAGAATTGAAGTAGCTCAGAAGAAACTCAAGATGCACACATTTAGAGAATTCATTCCAAATGTTCACATAGACTATTTGTATCCAACCTCTGGTGGAGCATTCCAAGCTTATATTAGTCTGATCAGCCACAGCTGATGCATTATAACTTGACTCTAACATCATAATGTCATTTTGGTCCTCCTCAAGAATGAAGGACAAGGGGCAGCTAGGTGGCACAGTGGATAGATCTCCGACCTTGGTGTCAGAAGGACCTGAGTTCAAATCTGGCCTCAGACACTTGACACTTACTAGCTGTGTGACCCTAGGCAAGTCACTTAACCCCAATTGCCTCACACACAAAAAAAAGTGTGAAGGATGACAAGCAACTAACAATGTAACCACTTTGTCCATAGTAGTTGTTGGATACTAAGCCTAAATGTGCTATAATTTGTAATGGCCCAACCACCAGGGTTAAAAAAAAAAAAAAAAGGCCCTAGAAAAACTAAGAGTAGGCAAGTTTTGTCCTTGGAGAATTTTCATCACCCATATCCAATGTTCCTTTGCTCCCCCTTGTTGACTTTTCCCCGAGTATGTCTTTGTTCTGTTCCTGCTAATGGAATACTGTATTTGCTGATAAGGACTTGAGTTGTGATTCCTCCCAGCCATTCTGTTCTTATCTTGGGTCCATGATTGCCTAGACTGTGGGTGTCCCCACTCATCTTTGCCAAATGGTTTGGTTGGGCCGGTGGGTGGCTTTGACATAACTTCCATCAAACATTGTGTAAGAGGAATAAATAAATATAGACCTGGCAAGCTACTTTGAAAAAGTTGCTAACTTCTAATTTATGACCATAAGAGCTTATAGTGAATACCTCTTCTTATCTCCTCCCTACCTACTACGCTACATTGATCATTTACTTCACCAATTTTTAGTCACCTACTAATGTGCAAGGCATTGTAAGAATCACTATACTTAAATGCTAAAATTTGAGAGTAAGGGTATAGCACATTTCCCTTCAATTTCTTCAGATTACTTGGTAAAAAGCAAGTATTAATGTATCGCTAAATAAGAATGAACAAAAAGAGCAGCACTATAATTACTATATTCACAACTGAAGATACACTTTACATATCCTTTTTTTTCTAATGTCACCAAATAAAAGAACTTTATCTGAGATACTCTGGGTTGCAACACAATTTAAATCCTGCTTATGAACATCCTACAGTTCTTTTTTTTTTTCACTCGTCTTGCAAACCACTTTCTTCAAGTTTCTGAGAGATGCTTCTGAAACAGTCAGAATTGTGCTTCTGGAGCAGGTTGGGGGCATTAATCTCATTCCATGTGACATAGTTAAGGTTGTGATGCTTACAAGCTGAGGATCTAAAATTTTGAGCATATCGTTGAAGACAACACTCAACAAAACTTTTGAAAACCAAATAGCCAAACTCAGTGATATTCAACACAATGCACAGACATGATGTGACTAGCAAGAAGTAAAGGAAGATTTTCTTCTCAGTGGGCTTGGAGATAAAGCAGTCCACAGTGCTTGGGCAGGGATTGCATCACATTTCACAAGGTAGGGTGCTCTAAATCCGTCATACAAATTGTAAAACAAAAGCAGGAAGCCAATTTCAAATCCAGTTTTGAAAACAAGGCTGATGACATAAGTGTACCACAGGCTCCCGTCCATGTTACCTGGCCTAATGTAAAACTTCTTACTGTGCCTTTTTTCCCAGCCCTCACAGTAGCCACATGTAAAACAACCAGAAGAGAAGGGGTGGAGACCATGATCAGCTGCAAGGCTCAAAGCCTAACCTGGGAGATGGGGAAAAAGTAGTCAAAACAGACATTTTCACAACCAGGCTGCCTAATGTTGCATTGAAACTCCTTCTTTTCATCTTTCCAAACATGTTCTGCAGCTACCATGTAGACCAGCAAACAGAATATAAAGACAGCAGCCAGCCAGATTCGACCAATTCCAGTTGAATATTTATTTACTCCACTTAGGAGGTCTCTGAGGAACATCCAACTCATGGCTTTTGGTCAAGAAAGGCAAGACTTCTGTGAAAGAAAACAAATTCATTAAGATACATTTATTTCTTCCCTTCTATTCACTACTATTGAATAAAAGCTGTGAAAGAAAATCCTAACTTCTGCCATTATCCGTCTTTGGATGTGGAGAGAGTATTATTATTATTATTATTATTTTTTTTTTTTTTTAGGCAATTGGGTGTTAAGTGACCTGCCCAGGGTCACACAGCTAGTGTCAAGTGTTTGGTCTGAGTCTGTATTTGAACTCAGGTCCTCCTGACTTCAGGGCCAGTGCTCTATCCACTAGGCCACCCAGCTGCCCCGAGAGTATTATTTTTTAGAGAACTTTTTTAAAGTAATAGATGATGTCCTGTCTTGCATCAAAGAATATGGCGGTTGACGCACATGGGTAGTGCCCATGTGTAACCTGGCCCATCAGCTTGAATTTGGTTGGTTGGTTGGTTTATTCCAAAGTGCATGTTACCCTTACCTCAACAATAAGTAAAAAGCCTTTCTAATTACTGCCTCTAAAGAAGGAAATGCTGTGCACATAGACATTAGTGATCCTAATTACCTTCTAATTGCAGATTCTTAACCTCAGACTTCTATGTCCTTTAAGATACTAATCTGTCTGCTCAGAAGTCATAAAGAGATTCAGCAGTACTGAGAAATGTAGAGTTATTTTTTAAATCATTTTGAGTATTTAAAACTAGTTATTACTTGGAAATTGGCAAATATATTACATTTTTAAATGTATTTATATGAATTTTAATGTTTATCAATGTAACAATTTGCACCATAAACTTGTTGGGAACACTTTTTAGCAGCTGGAAACTATGATATAACAAGGTTAATACACATATATTTTAAATGGGTTTTTTTCTACTTTGTATTGATAGAATTACCTAGATTCATTCTCACACTTTTGCCTGATATTCCACTTCCACCTCACTATTATTCCCCCCATTCCACAACTATGATCAACAATAGTATATCTGCAAAATATCTAGCCAGAACTAAGGGTACAGTTTATGGCTGTGACAGAGCCATAGGCGTTAAAGCCACACTTTTGTCTTCTCTAACACAGTACTTGGAACAACTGAATTCCATACCTTAATAATAAATTCAACAATTTTTTATTAAGCACCTACTATGGGCAATGTACTAGGGTAGGCACTATGGATACAGAGTTGGAAAAACCATATTCCTTACCTTTCAAATAGTTTATAATCTTACATGGATATAAAACATAAACATAAATGTGCATGATGTAAGGTGCAATGTTATTGGAACAAAGTAGAAACCAGGACAAACTGCTGTAGAAGAATTTGAGAGGGGAAAGACTAATTTAAGCTAGGGGTTATCAAGGAAGTATTTAAGGAGTAGGTTTTACCTTGATATGTAACCTGTGACCCTGCACCAAAGTGCTAGATTCACCACAGGGGGCTTCTTACACAATCGCTTTTTCTCTTTTATTACATTCAGCATTTTCCTGGGACTCTTGGCCCATAAAGGGAAAGAACTGAAGATTCCTAAAGAGTCAAGAAGTCTTCCTCTGATTGTCACCTTCTCCAAGGAACTTTATATGGTTCTCACAAATTAGTACTACTTTTGAGGCCTCATCAAAAAGAAAGTACCCAGAGTTGCTAGAAAGTTGACCCCTTTCCCATGGACCTGCTCAGTCCACACTACTTATGTGACTGGTCACAAGTAAGGTTCAGATTTCTACATCAGGCCTTGCTGTTTCTTGGTTTCAGCTTCTATTTGCTCCAGAACTCCATCATTCTTCCACTGATACTCCATTGCTGCTGGCTTACATCCCTGTAGCTACTAAATTGGCCTATTCTACCACTGCCACCTCTAAGACCATGTGTTCTTCTCTCCCTGGCCACATGGTACTCTAATGCATATGGTTCCCAGAAGGGGCCACATGGCTATGCAGATTTTCCTTCAGTTAACTATAATTTCTATTTAACCATCTTTTTGTGCTACATTTTATTTTTGGTTCTAACTCCATCTGTCTGTTGCCCTACAACCTTTTTGAGGGACAAATCCAAGTTCATAAACCCAGTTGTATGAACTGGACATGTGTTAATTATCTTTAAGATGATGTCAATGGACCAAAGAGTACCCAAAATAAAGCAGGTCTACATCACATCAATGAGATCATCAATGTCTGAATGAAGATCTTATCCCTCTTAACTTGTTAAGAAGGCCTAAAACTCGCAAAGAGAATCTCATACTTCATTTAGGAGATACAAGATGGATTCAAAAGAACTTTACCAGTCTCCTCTTAGGTATATAAAGAAAAAAAAAAGGATTTAAAAGGATTTGAAGGAAGGAAAGGATTCAACAGGTATAAATGAGGAGGAAGTTCATGGAGTCATAGTCTATGGGAATACATGGAAATGAGAAATGGCATGTTGAGTTTAGGAAACATCTAGTAGTCCATTTTGAGTGGAACACAGAGTGTATGAAGGAGGAATGTAAAATAAAGCTAGAAACATTAGTTGGAGACAGATTGTAGAAGCCTTTTTTTAATGCCTCACCATGGCATATATATTTTATGTTATATACAATAGGCAACCTATGTAGATTTTGAATAGGAAGTACTATGGTCAGACTTCAGAACCAGGAACATTATATTAGTAGCTCTGGGAAGGATAGATTGGGGATAGGAGATACCAGAATCAGAAGGAACAGTTAAGAAGTTATTTCAAAAATACAGGTGAGAGGTGATGGTGGTCTAAACTGGGGGGTGGGGAATTGATATGTTTGAAAGATTTTGAAGGTTGATAACTGATTTGATTTAGAAAGGGAATGATCAAATATGACTCCAAGTTTTTGAGCCCATATGCCAAGGAAGATAGTGTTACCATAACAGGATTGGCTTAGGTAAAGAGAAGATAATGAATTTTAGAAATGTTAATGAGGTGCTGGAAGGACATCCAAGTAAAGATGTCCAGAAGGCAATAGAAATGTGGGAGTATAGATCAAGGTTAAAATTCAGGCTGAATAATAGATATGACAGTCATCATTGGCATGCAGATAATGGTTGCAGCAATGAAAATTGGTGAGATCACCAAGAAGAAAAGTGTTATAGAGGGATCTTTGGGGATATTCATGCTTAGGTGGCAAAAGGAATATAAATAATCCAGTGAAGGAGACTGAGAAATGTCATTTAGAGGAGAAAGATGTTGAGACAGTGAAAAATAACAAGAAAACTTAGTTAGAATCAGGACAATACATTATCTTAGAAGAGAGTGCCAATAGTGTCAGTGCTGCAGAATGGTCAAAGATCTGATGACTGAGAAAAATTAATAGAATTTGGAGTAGAACAATTTACACAATGCCCACAATAATGTAGAACAACTTTGAAAGACTTCAGAACTCCGATCTGCGTAATGACCAGCAATGAATGTGGGTGAATGATGATAGATTAGAGATGAAGAACGAAATATATATTTTCAGACATAGCCAATGAATTGATTTGTTTCAATATACCTATTAATTATTAAGGAGGGCTTCTATCAATCAACAAGCATTTATTAAGTGAATATTACATGCCAGGGAATGTGATAGATGCTAGGGATACAAAGACCAAAAAAAAAAAAGGAGTAATCTCTACTCTCAAAGAGCTTACATTGTACTGGAGATGACACGAGTAAGACAGCATGTGTGCCTATACATATACATTTATATGTATGTATGTGTGTGTGTGTGTGTGTGTGTGTAATGAGTCCCTCAGTTGTATGTTGCAACCTGCTCCCATTCATTGCTCACCTTTTCATTGCTCTCTGTATGATGTTCATCTTTAGTTCTTTGGAGGTATTCCAAGTCTTATTGCCACATATCAATACCAGTCAAATATATTTATTGAAAATATGGATGTTTGCTGGTTATAGGAAGCTCAGGGCCAGTAAGAGTGTTTCACAACTTCTGGAAAGTTATATAACTCTGCTCTCTTCCTTTTCAATTCTTGCCCAACTGGACACTACTGTCCATATGTATTGTCTGTCCCAGATATAGTATATATGCTATATAGAGCTTTCTAAAAAAGTTCTCTAGGGTGTCCACTCAGATGCATTTTGAAATCTGAATGGTAGACATATTTTATCCATTTGGTCTTTCCTGCATTGATGAACAGGCCATACTACTTTTAGTGATTTCAGATCTCTTTCAGGGAGGCTCGTGGTATTTTAGCTCTTGATAGAATCAATACAATGTCACCCCCAAACAGAAGTATCTAGAGGACCTTACCATCTACAGAAAATCCTTTCTTAACTAGAACTCTGTAAAGAATCTCCATCAAGGTAGGGAATAGATAGTTAAATACAAGGTAGTTAGGGAAGATGGGCCCTAGCAATTGGGAAGATTGGAAAGGTAGCGGTGCTTGAGTTATGTCTTGACAGAAGTGAAGGATTCTAGGAGGCAACAGTGAGGAGGAAGTTTATTCTGGGCATAGGAAAGTATCAGTGTAAAGTCATGGAGATGGAAGGTAGAGTATCACATTGAGGGACAAATAAGAAGACCAATTTGACCGAAACACAAAGTGCAGTGAGGAGAATAATGTAAAAGAAGGCTAGAAAGATTGATAGACACCAACCTGTAAAGGACTTTGAAAGCTAAACAAAGGAGTTTATGTTTATTCCTAGAGACAATTGGGAGCCACTGGAGATTATTGAATAGGGAAGTGACATGGTCAGATTTACACTTAAGGATTTCAAAGTCATATCACTTCAGAAGCTGTATGAAGGATGAATTGGAGTGGGAAGAGATAAGTCAGGGAGATCAATTAGGAGGCCATAGAGGGAAGGAAGGAAGGAAGGAAGGAAGGAAGGAAGGAAGGAAGGAAGGAAGGAAGGAAGGAAGGGAAGGAAAGAAGGAAGAATGAATTTATTCAGTGCCTACTATGTACCTAGCATTTAGCTTTACAAGTATTATCTTACTTGATACAATAACCCTAGGAGATAGGTGCTATTATGATCCCCGTTTTAAATACAGTTTCAGAAGCTGAGACAAAGATTAAATGATTTGCCTAGGGTCACACAGCTAGCGTCTTGAAACCAGATTTGAACTCAGGTCTTCCTGATTCTAGGCTCAGTGTTCTATCCACTGCACTACCTAACTTCCTAATAATCTAGACAAGATGAGATGAAGGTCTGAACTAAGATGGTGGTCATGTGAGTAGAGAGAAGTAGTCAGATTTAAGAGTTGCCATAGAGTTACAAATGCCAAAAATGTGATTGGACATAAATACATACATACATGTATATATAACATATATATATCAAGAACGTAAAGTCAACAAACATGTATTAAGCACCTACTATGTGCCATGCTTTCTGCTCAGCTCTGGGGGATACAGTGAAAGACAAAAATGCAGTCCCTACCCTTGAGCTCACATTTTAATGGGAGAGAAAACATGCAAGCAACTATGTACACTATATTTATATATATATATATGCATATATATATATAATAAATGGGAGGAAATTTCAGAGAGAAGGAACTAATTGTGGGGGGGGGTAGGAAAAATCTATTTCAGAAGAGGAGATTTGAATTGAATCTTGAGAGAAGCCAGAAGGTGGAGGTGAGAAGGAAAAACATTCCAGGTATGTGGGACAGCCTGTGAAAAGTCATGGAGTTGGTAGATGAAGAATTGAGCATAATGCTGAAATTATGAACCTGAACCTGGAAACAAGAAGAATGATGGTGCCCTCTACAGAAGTAGGGAAATTTAATGGTGGATTTTTAAAAAAAAAAGAGTTTAAATACATGAAAGACCAGAAGGAAGTTCAGAAGAGGACACAAGCAAAGCAGTTTCATCACTTGTGTGTTAAATTTAATGTAATTTTTTAAAGTGATACAATGTCTTAGTTTCATAAACAGGCGTCTTTCCTGTTCTTTGTATATAGAAATGTTGATATGTATTAGTGTTTATTAAATTCATAAGAGAAAACTTTAAAATGGGATTTGAAAAGTGGTGGTCTTGGAGAGAGATGTTTCAATAGAGTGCTAAGCTTGAAAGCCAGATAGTAAGAGGCTGAGGCAGATGGAATGTTGAGTTTAGGAGACATCAGGTAGTCCATTTTGAGTGGAACTCAGAGTGTATGAAGGAGGCAGAAAATGAAGCACAAACTACTCTTTTTATAAGTTTAGCAATGAATAATAGAAAAAAATGCAATAGTTTGAAAGGATGAAAAGAATCAAGGGAAAGTTTTTTTCAGTAAAGAGGAGACCTGAGCATTATTGTAGGCATTATCAAAAGAACCACTAGAGAGGAAAGGTTTACAGATGAGAGAGAATGATCCACAGAGCAAAGTCCTGGAGGGGATGGAGTCAAAGGCAGAAGTCAGCCACCTTCTTTTCTGAAACTGGAGCAAAAAAAGAGGATGATTTAGACTATAGAGAAATTTAGGCATGTAGAAGATGGGAAATGAAGAGGGGAAGTCATGACAAAGGCCCTCAATCTCACCATGCTATCACAACACGAGTAGAGTAATTTGTGACCACATTTTATTTTTCCCTTAGCCTTTCAACCAATAAGAACATACAGGATCTTGTTCTAAGATGGAATGATGTTCTGACAACATAGGGTTAAGAAAATTGGGCTAATGTATCAAGAAGGCACCTATCATGAAGTCTCACAAATAATACACAATAACTTTGGTTTTCTTTTATGAGAGATAAAATGTAATAAGCCGAGACGCTAGTGCTTAGGGCAGATAAACAAAGAGTAATGAATACTTTTCACAGAGAATGAAGACAAGTGTATAAAATGTTCCATTCAAAGAGGAGTAAACACTTCATTGCTGTTAGTTATCAGAACACATAAACAAAATGCATTAAATAAAAAGGCTTCTTAAGCCTGCCAGAAAGGTTAATATCTGTATAAATAATTCAAATTAATTTTTAAAAAAAGCAAGTATTATGTTTCCCCATGACATATGGCATTTGACGTGTGTCCATGTTTCACAAGAGAAAATCTGTGTCATGTTACAAAACAGTAGAAAGAGCCTTATCAGGCCTTTTCGAGAAGAGAAAAGAGGAATTTTATCTACTGTTTTCCCCCCTTGAGGAAAAATAGATAATAAAGAAGCACTATATATTGAATGGCGTTGAATAGAACCAGAAAACTATCAAAAGAGCTGCCTAACAGGCTTTTTCCACTCTGCCTCCTCTAACCTATCCTCCACTACCAGATTATGCCTTGATCTACTTATACCCCTCCTCTGCTCAAAATCCTTCAATGGATCCCTATTGCCTACCAAGGAAAATTTAATTGCAACTAACAGATAAATGGTCTTTTAAGGTTTAGAAGTACATTCCTTCCAACAACCCTCTGAGGTAGTTCGTGCAAGTATAATTTTTCCCATTTTACAGATGAAGAATCTGAGGCTTAAGAGAAGTTAAAAGATGTGTCCATTACCATATGGCTGGTAAAGGCTAGAATTTGAAGGTCTCCTTGGTGCACAAACAGCTTTCTGTTTACTATATCACCTTAGCCTGGCATTCAAGGCCCTGAACAATGTTTCATGACTAATTTTCCAGCTGTATGTTTTTGCCTGCATGTACTCCATTCAAACCAACCTGCACAAATTATTGTCCCTCAAACATGCTCTACAACTATTCTCTTCTGCACTCTTGCTCAAAATGTTCTCTATGCCTGGAGTACATACTGTCCTTGTCCTTCTCCCTGTTGAATTCTATTGAATTCCTACTTACCCTTTGATGTACAACTAAACATTGCTTCCATTAATCCATTCTTGATTACTCCAGTTGGTAATGGCCTCCTCAGACCTAGTATGATATATTGGGAAAACACTTAATATATTTATTATTCAGCATTATTACTTTCCCCCTAAACTCAACCATCTTACCAGAATGGAGTCAGAGGGCTCCATTCTGAAAATCACCCAAGTTCACAACCTCAAAGTTATCCTCAGGTTATACTCTTACTCATTACCCCCATATCTAAACACTTGCCAAGTTTTTTTGTGTGTGTTTTGTTTTTGTGTTGTTTTTTTAGGCAGTGGAATTAAATGACTTGCCCGAGGTCACACAGCTAGTAAGTGTCAAGTGTCTGAGGTTAGATTTGAACTCAGGTCCTCCTGACTCCAGGGCCAGTACTCTATCCACTGCCCCACTTAGCTGCCCCACTTGCCAAGTTTTATAGATTCTACCTTTGCATCATCTCTCACATCTGCTCCCTTACCTGTGTTCATAGTCTAAACCAATCCTTCAGCTTCCTGTATTTGGCATTTTATCTTCAATGCCCTTGCCTCTGCACAGGTTACCCCCACCCCATGCCTGAAATGTTCCTGCTCCTCATCTCCAGCTCTTGGAACTACTATCTTCCTTCAAATCTCCCCTCAACTGCTACCTCCTACAAGAGATCTTTGCTAATTCTACCCAGGTGCTAGTTCTGCCTCAGCCTGAAATTATTTTCTATTCATTTAGCATATTGTTTATTTTTTCCATCTGTGTATATGTTGTTCCCCCAAATAGAATTTAAACTACTTGAGAAAAAGCCTTTAATAAATGTTTGTGGAATTAAATTATCCTGAATTTCAGTATGTCTTCCAAGAAGTGCACATAGACCTGAAACAGAGGGAATCAGTTAGACTTTCTATGGTGTTCTCTCCTCATCAACAATAGGAGGATCACCAGAAATGGGCTACAATTTGCACCATTGGATGAGTGAAATCACAGACTCATTGACATATCAAAGTATGAGAGCGTGTTCATTTCCCTTAACAGACTGTGAATTCAATGAGGGCAAGAACCATGTCTTAGCTAAATGTTATCTTTCGTCTAGTATCTATCACAATACTAATACCATAGTAAGTAGTTGAGAAATGGTTCTTTGATTTGAATAGAAGGGACTGACGAAGTCCTGTGAGTCAGAATTACACCCAAGCCATCAAAAACTAATAGTTGTCTGCCCTCTTTTCAAGCTCTTCAGATTGTTAAGGGCCTCCCTCATTCCACAGGCTATTATAATAGTAAATCACTTTTCCTGCCTGAATTGTCTTCCTTTTTTTCTAAGCTAAGCCTCTTGTTTCAATTTTAGTGCATTTTCACCATTTTTCCTCCTGTGAGGATGGATATCTCCTCATAATAACAAAGTTATCACTTGTTTTTCTTATCCTTGGCTACAAGAATCCCAACTTCTTTGATTTTTCTTGATGAGATCTACTTTTTCTTTATTCATTTTTCTTGCTTTTCTTGTAATTTCTGGAAACTCCTTTGGATTTTTTAGAGGTTCTACTTATAAAGTCTAAGGATCTAGTTTTACCAGTAAATTTCTCCTTTCATTTGAAGAAGCAGCAGTTAACTTCAACAAGATTTTAGCTTTAGTGAGAAATACAAACAGAAGATGAAATTAATCAGATGATTTCTTGAAGCCCAACCCCAAAGGTCCCCACTACTACTTATAATTTTGGAAGGCATATCACATTTTTCTAAGTCATTGGAAAATCCAGCAAAAAATCCTTAAATTTAATGAAACATCAGTGACCCAGTTACCTGTCCATCCTGGAGTCAAGTAGTAAAATAGATACAGAATTACAACTTGTTCTGCTATTTTTCACAGAAAGTAAAACTTATCATCCAATCTTGGAAAGTGAGCAAAGCTTGGATCTTTCAGTCTGGTCAGATACAAATTCTAGAAATACATTCCATTACCACCAATCCTACCATCTCTAGGAAATTTGTCCAGTATATATGGATCATCTTCCTTTCCTCAGTGCAGTTAGCAACTCTTTTTCTTAGAAGTACATAAATTTAAAAAATAACAAATGTAAAGAAAAATAGATGTAGATATGTATATACATATGCCTATTACATTTTTATTTGTTAGATTTTTGTGTATATGTGTGTATGAACATATGTGTGTATGGGTATGTATATTATATATGTGTACATATATGTACTGATACTAAAAATATGTATACATATTTTGTTTCCTCTGAGTTCCCTTTTGAAGGAAGACTTAGAGGGGAAATGATTGTTATCCTCAAATGTTTGAGGGGCTGTCATGTGAAAGAGGGATTAAACTTATTCTTTATAGCTCCAGACCAATGGTTGGAAGAAAAATGAAGCAAATGTCACTACAGTAAGAAAAAATTTTCTTATCAGAGATATCTACCTACTGTACTCCAAATTAAACCAAAATTTATATTTAGTTATGTGGTTTGAATATATTTAAAGATGAGCCTTTCTGACTCCAGGCCCAGAGTTCTATCCACCTAGTTGACCCTCTAGCATATAGTAAGCACTTAATAAATGATTACTGAATGACTAATTGAATCATCCTGCTGAGGCCAGTATCCACGCCATGACATTAACATTCAACAACACCCTTATAAAGTATTATAATAAGGAAAAGTGTATTTGTGGCCACCACCATCCACCCTGAGCACTAAAAATGCCAGATATACTCAGAGCCAGACTTACCCTAACCACAGGAGAACTTACACTGGATTTGGAGTCAGGGGACCTGGATTTGAGTCCTGACTCTGCCACTTACTTCTTGTTCAGTCTTAAGCTAATCAATTCATGTCTTTGGGCCTCCATTTACTCATCTGTAAAATGAAGGGTTTGGACTCTAATGTAATTATAAAAATAATCCTTACTTGGTCCTTCCACTTCACTGTCAGCCTATATCTCATGTCTGCCCTTTTTAGCAAAACTCCTTGAAAAGGCAATCTACAATAGGTGTCTCCACTTTCTGTTCTCTCTCCTCTCAACAATTTGTCTTCCCACCTTCATTGGAACTACTCTCTCTAAAGTTGCTAATGGTCTCTTAGTTGTTAAATCCAGCAGCCTTTTCTCAATCCTCATTCTCCTCGAGCTCTCTGCAGCCTTTGACATTGTTGATCACTCTCTCCTTGACAATCTCTTCTCGCTGGGTTTTCTGGACACTACTCTCTCCTGATTTACCTCCTACCTATATGACTACTCCTTCTCTGTCTCCTTTGCTGGATCTTCTTCCAGATTACACTCTTTAATCATTGGGGTCCCTCAGGTTCTGCCTTATACCCTCTTCTCTTCTCCTCTCCCTCTCTACTACTTCACTTACGGATCTCATCATCACCATGGAATTAAATACCATCTATTGTTGATGATTCTCAAATCTATCTATCCTGCTCCAATCTTACATCTTCAACTACCTTTGAGACAACTAGAAATGGATGTTCATTAGACATCTTAAACTTAATATGTCCAAAACAGAACTTGTTACCTTTCCCCCTAAACCCATCCCACCTCCTACCTTCACTATTAGGCTTACAACCTAGGAGTCACCCTATATTCCTCACTATCTCTCACCCCTATATCCAGTCTGTTGCCAAGGCCTGTTGATTTCACCTCTTGAATACATCCCCTTCTCTTCTCTGACACTCTCACCTCTCTAAGGCCTGCCGTTATCGTCTCATGCCTGGATTATTGCAATAGACTGCCAGTGAGTGGGTAGGCCTACCTCAAGTCTCTCCCCACTCCAATCCATTGTCCATTCAGTCACTAAAGTGATTTTCCTAAAGCACAAATCCAATCATGTCACTCTCACCCCTCCAGTCAATAAACTCTAGTGACTTCCTATTGTCTCCAGGAGCAAATACAAAATGCTCTATTAGGCATTCAAAACCCTTCATAAGATGTATCCTCATATAAGATACACCTTACTCCCCACCATATATATACTCATCAATCCAATGACAGTGGCTTCCTGGCTATTCCATATACAAGATACTCCATCTCTCAGCTCAGGATATTCTCTCTGGCTGTCCTCTGTGCCTAAAATACTCTCCCTTCTCCACTCTAACTATTGACCTCCCTGGCTACCTTTAAACTCAACTAAAATTCCACCTTCTACAGTAAGGTTTCCCCCAACCACACACACCGCTTTTTGGAGGCAATTGGGATTGCCCAGGGTCACAGGGCTAGTAAGTGTCTGAGGCTAGATTTGAACTCACGTCCTCCTGATTCCAGAACCAGTGCTCTATTCACTGTATCACCTTGCTGCACCTTTCCTAAGCCCTCTTAATTCCAGTGCCTTGCCTAATTATTTCCTATTTATCCTGTATATAGCTTTCTTTGTGTATATTTGTTTGCATGTTGTTTCCCCCGATATATTGTATTCTCCTTGAGGGCAGGGGCTGTCTTTTGCTTCTTTTTGTATCCCCAGAACTTAGCATGGTACCTGGCAGGTGCTTAATAAATGCTTATTTACTAATATTAATAATAATAACCATCATCTCAATAGCACATTAAGGTTTGCAAAGAGCTTTACAAATATTATCTCATTTAATCCTCACAACAATCCTAGGATGTAGGTGTTATTATTATCGCCCTTTTACATGTGGGGAAACTGAAGCAGACAGAGGCTTAATAACGTGCCTGAGGCCACACAGCTAGTAAGTGTATGAGAGCAAATTTGAACTCAGATCTTCCTGAGTCCAGGCCCAGAGTTCTATCTACTGTGCCACAGAAAAGGTTTTTGCTCTTCCCTATTATTCCATTTCCTGCCTCTAGCTGACCTCAAAAATAATTGGTCTGGCTACATATAAATTAAATTCACTTATCTGAACTGTTCATATCTAATGATCTATAACAAAATAGTGATTATGCAAAACCTTAAATATGTCAGATTAACTTTTTAGGGTTGTTTATTATTTTATTATATTTATTTATTTTTATTATTTATTATATTTCATATTCACAATACTCTGCCAAAGTCCTACACTGAAGCCTTGTCATGTCCTGGAGGTGACCCTGGGTTCTGGAAGGCTATTCCAATG